TTCACAATCATAAATCATCATACTTAAGTAATGTTTCAATTAACTAACCCTAATTTAAATCATTATTAATCCTAAATTAGGCTGCCTTAACAATAATTGCTAATAAAGAAATCATATACTTATATTTAATCATATATAAAGTCATTTGAATTAAATAATACTTACATTTAACTAACATTAATAATATCATCTACATGTATTTAACTAATTTACGTAATTTTAATTAAATACAACTTAATTAACCCTATGTTTAAATTACACCTACGTTTAACATAACTAAATTTAAGGAATTTATTTCGTTAATTAATTAAGTATTTAATTTAATTACTTAATGCATTTAAATGCATTTAATTTAAATTTAACTAATAATATTAACAAAAGTTTAATTAACTAATGTAGCTAATTAATTAATTTAACTAATGTAGCTAAAATGAACCAACCAATTAATTTATTTAGCTAATTAAAATGAACCAAAAAATACGTAATTCAAATTACATACCTTATCTGCATAAACAGGAAAAATGATATGAGATGGGTAGATTACATCATTCAATTATATCTGGAATTCTATTTGGAGTAGATGGTGTGATTTTGTTGAATGAAGCGGAGGCTGCATGTATAAAACTTGTAGTCCGTGACTACATATTTTTGTACGATTTTTCGGAGCACTTTAAATTTGGAATGTTGAAAAAATTAATTTTGCACTTGTCACGGAATTAGTCACGGATACGTCCGTGACTAACTTTAGTCACGGAACGAGTCACGGAACCGTCCGTGACTAATTTCAAATTTAAAATAAACCCCGCCGAAGGCGAAATTGGGTTGGCCGGAACACGTTAGTCACGGACTACATCCGTGACTATTTTTTTTTAAAACGATCCGTGACTAAACCGTGATTAGAACCGTGACTAACTAGTCACGGACGGACCAAATCTGTGACTACGGTCTGTGATTACAAGCGAATTTTTTTGTAGTGATATATAAAAAATAAAATCTTTATGCAAAAAATATAAAAATAAAATTTCAGACCAGACTAGACCAGACAAGACCAGACCAGACCAAAACAGACTAGACCTGATCAAAACAGACCAGGCCAGACCAAACCAGACCAGCAAATTACAGTCCAAGTAAAAACATCCTTAGTCCCTGAAATATTAACCTATCGAAATGTTAGATCCGTATTTCTGAGATTGTAAATGTCACACCCATGAATTGTCCAAATTGTTGTAAATGTGATCCTTTGAGGGGTGAAATGTACTCCTCGCCCACTTTGTACATTTAATCGCTCAAAGGACAACATTTATACCAATTTGGATAATTGAGGGGTAACATTTACAAATTCGAAAATACGGATCTGACATTTCAATGATGACTATTTCAAAGACTAAAAGTGCGTTTCCCCCTACTTAAAACCTAAGTCACACAACTATTACTTATAACCATATGCATGTCAATATAGCTTAGCTATTAAAATATATAAGGACTATTAACTAAATACATCCACAACTATTATCAAATTTACAAATCTATCCCATACTTTCACTTTTATTAAAAAAAAGACTCAAACTTGAACTTTTCTCACAATGACACTTTGAATGGATGAATTAGTAAAACTTAAGAAGAAAATCATATTTATACGTCATAATTTTAAATTTCTTTCTAGTTTTAAACTTACAAACTTGTATTTCTTATATCTTATTGATAAAAACTTGTTCTACAAATTAAAGAATAATCTTTTTTACTTGTAATAAAATTAGTATTACTTATAATTAATGCACTTTTGATGCATAACATGCGAAAGATAACCACAAAGAGTTCAAAATTTTCTAGGTAACAAAAACATTGTATTAAATAAATATCACTTGTTCATTAGTGTTTAATATATTTTAGAAACCTCTATAAAAATACATTAATATATTATCTACTTTATTCACGGGTTAGTTGGAGTATCATTCTATATTAGTCTGGAGATTTAGTTAGAAAGTTTTCAATTATAGACTAGTATACAAAATTATTATTTTTCGGTTTGATTTTAGTTCTTGCTAATTAATTCGTGAAGAACAAATAGAATTAAACAAATTTAAAAAATTATGAAATTTAATAAGAGTATATAATAGGTATTGATATTGATAAAAATGTGTAATTTGGAAGAGAAAAAAAAACAGAAAAGCATAAATGTTGAAAAAGATGTTTGAGTCTTTTTTTGATAAAAATCAAATAATAAGATAAATTTGTAAATTTGATGATAGCTTGGGATAAAATAAGCTAATAATTCAATATATAATTTCATAGTCATATATAATCACCTTTAATAACCCAATAATAATTGTGGTGCATGAAACAGAAGATCATGGATTACCTACAAATAAAATATTTTATAGCACAAGTCAAAGGAAAATTATTTGAAAATAGAAAAGGAAATATTTTATCAAATTATTTAAAGATAAAGAGTTTAAAATATACACATCCACTGATACTTTTTGAATGACTTATGTCTTGTTTAACCACATGAATGTTATCCGAAAAAAGAATTGATTTTTGAATTGCAATTTTTGTCTATCAAAGAGGATGTTCATTAGTCACGAGACGTTTTCTTAATATTACGATAATGTGTTTGATATTATTTATTTTTAGATAAATATTATATTGGTCTTACATATAGATGTTGCATATTATATTTGTGTTAACGCTAAAATAAATTAAAGTTTCTTATATAAATTGTTCTTACAAAGTAAGAAATAATTGAATTGTGTGATTTAATTATATTCCAGTTTCACCTAGTGCACATTTCAATTTCACCTAATGCACAATTCAGCTTCACTTAATGACATTGTATCATACGCTTTGTGTTGCACATTTCAATTTCACTTAATGCACATTACAGTTTCATCTAATGCACATTGAATTTCACTTAAAGCAAATCTAACGGTCCAAATTCGTTCTCATTTCTCTCCTAAGATCATGTTCTTATTTGAACCAAAACCTATATATATAAGACTATATATTAATTTGGAAAACTAAAACTTAAGGGGGCGAACACATATATATGTTAGATTCACTTCACATGATCTAAAAACTGTTTAACTAGAGTGGGTGGTATTTAATATCTTCGTTTGATATTTTACAAAATCAAGTACTAATTATCTAATAAAGATAAGAGCTTTTCCATAAATATTCTTAAATCAAATTCAAAAGATAAAAATATGACTTATTTAAAAATTTCAAATAAGCGATATAATCAGTGACTAATTCACAGTGACTCATCATCATAAATACATTACAGTGACTCTTATCCAGTTACTCGTACTCAGTGACTAGTCATCTTTTTGTCCAAAGCATAATTAGTCATATTTTTGTCCGAGGAAACTCTGTTACTAATATACATGTCATTTTTCTAAAGATAATTAAACATTGCAAAACTATGAATTTTTATATAATAAGTATCCTAATTCTTAAACAATGAGTTGTTTTATTGTTTATTTGTTTAAATAATGATAAATTATTTTAGATTTTTCTTCTTTTAAATCTCCTATTAAATACTAGTACTACATATTATATTATGTAAGACAATATATTAATTTGGAAAACTAAAACTTAAGGGGGCGAACACATATATTTCTAATTGAAGTATGAACATTTTATGAAAATATTACATATTCAATACTACGTATAAAAATATGAAGGGAGAACTATCAAATAAGCCCTTGAACTTTCATAAAAAGTGCAAATAAGCCCTTTTACAGGAGGCTTTGTCCGGCTGTTGCCATTTGTGGCGGTTTCCGGTGACAGATTTTGATGAAATTTTTTGAGCATCTTCTTCATTAAGTCTAGTTTACTCATACCAAATTTCAGCTAAGCATTCAATCTAGAAAGAAGTCAAATGATTTTCTGAAATATACTGTGCCGCCTACTGCGCAGTTATCTTCAAAAAATCATATGACTACCTTCCCGATTGAATTTTTATCTGAAATTTGGTTTGAGTAAACTAGACTTAATAAAGAAAATCCTCAAAAAATTTCATCAAAAAATTCCACCGGAAACCGCTCCAAATGGCGACGGCCGGACATAGCCTTTTATAAAAGGGCTTATTTGCATTTTTAATGAAAGTTCGAGGGCTTATTTGATAGTTCTCCCAGATTTGAAAGTCAAGGGACACTTGCCCCCCCTAAATCCATCCCTGGCCTCATCTTGAAAGCTCTTAAAGCTCTTAAAGGTGAAATGGGGTCAACACATATATGCTTCATCCCGGGTATTTTACATGGAAGGGTCCCCAATAATGGAAAAGGGGATTTGAATGCATCTTTTTCAAGTTACAATATTCCCGATTATTATATTTTGATTTTTGAATCTCGTTTGATCATGGAAAATTTTAACACCACAGTGTACTTAATTTGAAGCTGAATGTCCATGTGGGCAAGGCTAAAATTGAGTAAGGCTATTCCAGTATTCCAATTGGGATTAAGGCTAGTATTAGTTTCCTATTATCATTGCTATTTCATTGTTTAGTTTTATTCAGCTTCATATAAGCCTTCAGTATTATGTTTCTTATTGTGATTAGAGCTAGAATAAATTGTATAATAGTGTTATATATGGGTTCTCATAACTGATCAATAAAAACCTTGCAGAATTAATTTGTGTTTTGACTAGACCACAACACTGATTAATTCCACCTTAAGCCCTCTCTCTCTCTCTCTCTCTCTCTCTCTCTCTCTCTCTCTCTCTCTCTCTCTCTCTCTCTCTCTCTCTCTCTCAAGCAATAGATCCGGAAATTCTTAAGCATTGATCAGAGACTATCTTTCGTTCCTCTGTCCTGAACCTTGGAACAAGATCTCAACCATGTTGGTAACAGAAAATATCTAATTGAATAACAAATATGTCTGGAGGATAAACATAAACTACGTTTTTTGTTTCCTGCTGAAGACTAAATGTTGTCCATGTGGAAATGACAAAATGACATTGGATGATTGGACACTAACTATTTATAGTCGGAAAAACAAAACTGATAATAATTCTGGCATCAATAAACAACTCTTCATTATCATCAGTATGCATATGAACTCCGTTTCGAAAAACACTTGTAACAAGCACAAACTTTATTCATGTGAAGAGAACGTGATTTACAAGCCTCACGGTGCCTGACATTGTCTCCAGTATTGTTTTCTTAATTTAATCGGTAGCAATCATTGGACACAAACTACCTTGTAATATTGTATACAAAGGTTATTATTCGTATGCAGGAGTTGCGCAACAAATCATTATTGCTTTCGGGATGACTTAAATCTTCATATGTAAGCTAAGAGCGAGGGAAACGTGCACAAACACGCTGCTGGATTGGGCTCCTGCAAGAAGGACAGTCTTTCATCCCCTGATTCTTGTGGAGCTCATTGCATGTTGTACAAACCACCTGATGGGCACATGGAAGGAAAACAACAGACATCTCTTCAGACAAACACATGACACACTCACGTTCCCGTTTTACCCCACCAGGTTTGCAGTAATCACGGAAATCAGCTATCAGTCTTGATATATGGTGTAGATGGTTTTCTTTTGGCTGTGGATGAGTTTTGAAGTCCGTCAGTTTACTTGCATAACTCCCATCTACGCCTCTTCTAAGAGCAGCTATATTCAATGCGTCAGTTTTCAGCCTCAACTGGGATACTTCCTTTTCTAGCTTCTCGATATCCTCTTTATACTTCTGTAAGTTGCCTTCTGCTTTCAATTTGATCGCATCTTCCTTGGATTTAAATGAAGCATCAATTTGTTGTCTCTCTTTTCTTAGTGATCTTGCATTTGAAAGAAATTCTTCCTTTGAATTTTGCTCTAGTTTCCATCTAGCCTGTCAGTTTTAAACTTTTCAGTGATAGAACTGCTTACAGGAAATACTTAAAAGTGTCTATCAAATTGCAATGGAAATTTTATAAAAGTTTGGCAATAATAACAGGGCTTAATTAGGACGACCATACCAACAGATTAGAAGGCCGTCTTCCCAGCGATTCTAATATGCCAAAGCTCTCAACTCCCATCAGACAGAAACACAACATATTGAGATGACTATAATACATTGCTGACACAAAAACAGCCTTTACCCCTCCCCCAATCAAGAAAAGAGATGAATAAAAGTAAAGCATTGTGTAAAATGTATGGGAAAAATGTTACTAGAAAAATATGAGCCAACCGGCCAACCCTGTGTATCCAAGATATATGTAAATTGTAATACAAAATTGACATAGGTAGAGATAGGCTGTATCCAATGTTTTACAGATTGTCAAGTACAGAAAGAGTGGGATAAACGAGGCTATTCTCCTTAAAGGGTTTAAAAACCCAAAACACTTTAAAGCATTGCGCACTCAATTCTAACTTGAGAGTGGATATCAAATGTCGATGATATTATTTCCCATAATTGGCATAACCGTGTCATAAGCAGAAAAGCTTGATGGTCAAAATGACATAGAACTAAATAATATTCAACGATCACTTCTATCACTGCACTCAATACTAATAAGGCATACCTCGAGTTTATTTTGGAGATGTTTTGCTCCCTCTATATCTTTTCGCAGCTGAGCGGACTTGCGTTTTTCAGTAGCAAGTTCATCCTGGAACATTATTTTCTGCTTTTCCCATGAATGAAACCTAATAAGTGTCTTCTTTTCTCTCATCGACACCTCCCGACAGCTGGCAGCTGAATCAGCTGCATATAATTTAGCAGCTTCCATTTCCCTTCTTAACACAGCATTCTCAACATCAAGCCTTCGCACGGCAGCATTAGCTCGATCCACCTGCCCACTTGCTTTACCTAAGGCACTAGCCATCTCTTGCAGCTTTTTCATTGTGTTTTCTTCCAACATTTTCTTTTCTTTTTTGAGCCTTTCAACTTCCTCTTTCTCCTGCCTGAGTGTCTTAAGCTCAACTTTGTCTTTGCTCAGTCGACGAGCAGCTTGCATAACCTTCTGATTGGCCCATTCCGTCCAGTCTTGAAGCTGATTCTGCAGTTCCCGGACTCTTGGGACAAGCTTGAGAATCATTTCTTCTTTCTTGTCACGTGCAGCCCATTGAGTAATATGTTTTTCATCTCCTGCAGTATTACCATAGTTAAGTTCTTCATTGCTACTGCTGATAGGCATTTGGATGGAGATGCATTTTGAAGGCAATGGGATAAAATTTTCAGTGTCAGCAACAGGAAATGATGGAGAGGTCTCAGTCGGCGGTGGAAATAGAGAAGGGATAGTTGATACAGGGAATGACAAGGTGGCACTAGCATTCTCTGAACAAAAAATAGATGTAGAAGGAAGTCCAGTGCTTGTTGAGACATTATGGTTTGTGATACTCTGAATCTGATCCTCAGCTTTGGTCGTGTTTATCTTAAAAGGGGCAGTTTTCATAGTCAGCCCAGTAGAATCTGCCACGGCTTTCAGTTTCTTATCCAACAGCAACCCACCAAAATTCTTTCCCATCTTTCCAGCTCTAGACCCTTTAGAACCATATGTTCTGTAGTGTTTTTCCAAATGAATAGATTTTTGTCTTAGAAGATACTCCCTCTTTGTGGTTCCAGAATTTTTCCTACTGCTAACAAACTTCTCTGCAACTAGAGGATGTGATATTCCAGCTGCACTAAAGGATTTATGAGCAGTGCTAAACAAATTGGTTGAGCCCTGTTTCTCTGTGACAAGACCATTGAGGACAGAAGAGTGGATGCTCTGGGGCTTTGTGTGTGGAACTGTAGCAGGTGCATCAGAGAGAAGGTTGCGCCCGTGTGGAGTTGAAGCCGTGTCAGCTGTGATAGATGATGGACAATAAGCACAAAAGGCAGAAGTCGCTTGTTGACAATAACTTGCAGCAGTGGATTTGATACTTTTCGACTCTGCTTTCACCCGAGGTTGCAAAGAAGCCGGTGAATTTTCATTTGAAGCCCCTTCCCCAACAAAACAGCTCAAAGGATCGTCCAATGCACATGCATGGGAGACGTTCATATCACATATTAATAGGCACCACATTGCATCACCAGTGCTGAAAAAGGGCTTAACCTCCTGCAGAACGCAAACTAACTCAGCCAAAACATAGTTTTTCATATGTTGCAGGTCCTCAAAATAATGCTCCTGGGATGAATCAATCTCTTGGCCAGTTTTGAGAAAAGCTTGTGCATTGTCCACTATATTTGACACAATGTCCTTACCCCCATAGCAAAAGCCGTACCTTAATACAGCCTTGTTAGCAATCTCTTCGCAGTAACCACATGATACTAGTTTCTTTATAGCACTCTTGTAAATTGCATCTAAGTTAGTTAAAAGAAGCTCCTCTAGCTGAGATTCCGTGAGATCGTTCCAGTCAGCATCACGGAAATCTTCAGTAGCTTCAACATCTTCTGTTGTTGTTGGCCGGCTTGACTCTGCTTCTGATGACCCTACAGCACATGATAATCCGAGGTCAAGCTTTAAACCTTCTGATATTTCATGCTTTCCACAACACATATCACACCCATTGAAACTCGTATGGCTCGGAATTATTCCAAATTTATCCACAGAAAATTCGTAACTTGTGCAATCATTCTGAATCGTAGGTATGAATTTATTCAAATCGGCTAAAGGTGGGTCCGCCCTGAATTTCCTCTTATTCCTACTGCCCTTTTCTGAGACTGTCATAACTTGTGATATCTGAGTGGTAGCTGTTGGAGTACACGCCTTTGCAACCATGGATGCCATTCCTTAACTGCACCTTATAACACTTTTTCAGAACTTGATGTCATGTAAATAATGTAAATCCGCTTATCAAGTAACACATAATATAACAATGAAGCATGGGCCAATCAGTTTTATGAAGGCATATGATCAACTATCCAGCTAAAATAATCCAGCTATTGCTAATGAGTAATAGTGATCAATCCAGGTGATCAAATACAAAGTGTTGAAAAGCAAAAGCACACAAAATTCGGTTGATGAATCTAGTGAGTGTGATCAACGAGAATCGATCAAAATTGTCAGTATCGATCATATATTTATTGAATCAACAGAAACAACAAATAAACAGAGCGTTATATTCAATAACGAATCAATTAACCTTCGATCAGCACGAAATCATAACGGAAATCGAAAACGAAATCATGGATCAAAAGGATTCAGCTGGAAATCAAGAAAAAACGTTCTATTCCCGTTGAAGGCCGATTTAGAAAGGTGTAAATTGCATTGAATTATCGGTGTTTCATAGGTGAATCCGTACCAGATGTGAGTTGTTGTTTGAGCAATCAAAAGGCGGACAAATCTACCAGCATCGGAGAGAGTAGGAGAATCCACTGTTCTGTTCTCCTCGTTTGCTTATTTATTTTAGGGGTACTTATTATTTTTTCTTTCTCGTGTCCTCTCAACTTAAGAAACATTGGAAGTTGAGACAGAAAATATTGCCTCTATTTGACTATTTTATCATTTACGGAAACAACCATGGTATTGGTATATTTACCATTAGTCACTGAAATGGTTGTCAAGACCATACAATCCATATGTATGCAGAAAGAATGTATGTAATTCAATAAAATTAATAAAGATAGAAATGTGAAATTTATCCTAAGTTTTTCTTGATGATTTTATGTCATTGTTTTTTATCAAATCTACTTATTCAGTTAAAATCATTCTCTTCTTCCTTCAAGCCATCAATCAATTTGTGTAACCTTTCTTTGTGTTTGTTGATTCATCAAACCATCATCTTGGGGTGGATTCGATTCAAACAGTTATTTGTATCTAAAATTAAATGTTGAGTCCAAGTAAAAAAGGTTATGTTCTATTCGGATTACACAAATTCATGATCATGATCCAAATTCATGATTATCATCAAATTGAACTACTTCTTCATTTATCATGATTTCATCTTCACCTTTATTGCTTTTCACTACAAGACATTGAGCTAGAAGCTTGTACATTTGTGATCACTTTCATTTCTTATAGGTTGTGTCATGTTGAAATCAAGCCCTTCATAAAATGAGGGCATTGAAAATGTGAGGAATGATCTTTTTCAAGAAACTTGATATAGTCCATTTGAGCTAGTTCCCTTGAAGAGGACCCTCTTGGTTGTCAGATCCTTCACACAAAAAATGGATAAAATTCAAAGTAAACATTATTGTCATCACTGAGATGATGGTTCAATAATAACGATGTGGTGTGACAATCCCACATCGATCAAGTATGGGCTTGATCGGTGGCCTATAAAGTGTTCCATCTCCTAATCGATTAGTCTTTTGGGAGTGAGTTCTATATATGGCCTTATGACATTGGTATGGACCTAGTATGGGCTAGATTTGTAACAACTGGTATCAAAGTCATCCCCATCCTCCCCGTCTCAACACTCGAAGTGGTGGCTTGGGCCCTGGGGGTGCCAACCGTGACCAACATATCTGTGACCAACGAGGACGTTGGCTTTTCAAAGTGTGGGGTGATAGAGTATATCTAGAGAGAAGTGAGAGCTAGAGAGAGAAGTGCAATAATATGCTTCAATAGAATGAATTTGTAACCCCTATAACTACTCCCAAGGGGAGTATTTATAGAGAAAATTAGGGTTGGGCTCCCAAGCCTTGGGCTCGGGAGGCCCATTTACAACTGGACCGCTACTGGGCCGAATACAAAGCCACTAATGGGCTGTACAAATGAGTAAGTATAAAATCTGATTCTGTGAGGTCTTCGTGGCCGACGAGGGCGTGGCCGACGAGGGCACGGCCGACGAGGGCACGGCCGACGAGGGCACCCGGGTTCCTTGGACTCAGGACCATAATCCGAGTTGGCCCCTTTTCGGCCGACGGGGGCGTCCTGGCCGACGAGGGCGCCACTCTGTGCCTTGTGCTTTCTGTTCTTCCGAGTATGTGGGTCCGGGGGCTCAGACCCATATACTCCATCAGGAGTCCCCCACTCTCTAAGCTGAGACGTAGACGAAGTGAAGGAGAGTAGATTCCTATGCTTTGGCGCCCTTGGCCGTTATCTGTTCCTTGTTGTGGACAGGGAGGCCGTTGTTTACTTGATGTCTTTGTTCTTGGACGATGAGTGTCCTTCTTTCAATGGTGGCCGTTGAAGGCATGTTTTGCTTGGGCGCTGATGGTTGAAGTTTGTATTTGGGCCGATGAGGCTACTGAAGTTGGTCCTTGCTTCGAGGACGATGGCGTCTTTCCCTTTGGATGGCCAATGAGGGTGTTTGCGCACTCCTTTTGGCCGTCGTTGATTAGCTTTCATGTTTTTGGCCGAAGAGCCCCTCGTGATTAAGTGATGGCGAAGGACGATGAGCGTCCTTGCCTTTGGTGGCCCGTTGGCCGTTGCAGATGACATTGTGTGCCTTCGGTCGACGAGGTGCAGTGTGATGCGTGGCCGATGTGGCCATGCTCTGTGGTTACCTTTGCATTTTCTCTTTTGTTTTGTTGAGGCCGGTGTAGTCCCCCAGTCCCCCACTGCTTCAGGCCGAGGAGTGTGAGGGGTGAAGGAGTTGCTTGAGTCCCTGGCCGAAGCGGTCTCTCCGTAGTCCCCCTGAATCCAACTCTCATGGCGATTTTCTGGCCAAGGTAACCCTGTGGGAGAACCCTTGTGCGCAGATCGCTTGTAGAGAGTTATCATCAAGGGTCATGACGAGGAGCCGATGGCTTGTGGGCTCTTGGGTTCTTTGATCTTGTGGCCGTTACGTTCCCGGCCGTTGCCGTCTCATTATTGTGTGGCAGTTGTGATCTTGGCGAGCAAGTGGGACGTTGTGGGCGCTTGCTGGCATTTGTAAAGCCGGTGAGCGTGTGTAGGCCGTAGAGTCCGTCTTGCCAGTGGGCTGTTGATATTGAGTTTGGCCCGTTGGTGACGTGGTGGTCCCCCATTGGTGGCCGTTGGTGTGGCCATTGGGGGGGTGCCACGTGTAGTGACCGTTGGGTGGGGGGTTCTATAAATACCCCTCCCCCTCCGACGAGAAAACGTATTTGCATTCTGAATTTGTCGAAGTGCTGGCCGATTTTCTAGAGAGATAAACTCCCAAGCCTGTTCTTCGTGTTCTTCGTTGTACAAGGTTAGTGTTCATCGCGATCTTCCTCACTTTTCATACTTTGCTTCCTAGGTTGTTGATCTAGTGTTAGGCGTTTGAACACCCTTAGATCTTAAGTTAGTCTCCTTAGGCCCGTAGTAGTAGTTATGAAGAGCTTGAACGAAGACTACTACCCCTACGACGACCAGCCCTCCACGAGGTCGCTTGACTACGAGGTGCTCGAGGAGTTTGAAGAGGAGATAGAGCGTTTAAGTCCCTACAAATCCGGAGAGCCGGTGGACGAGGAAGGCGAGGACGAGGAGTCCGCCTCCTCTTCAAAGGGTGAGGACGTAGGCGCGTTCCGAGTGGTGGACGGGGCGTCCACTTCTGCTGTCGTTCCGTGCCCGAGGCCGGTGTCTGCCGTGAAGGGAGCAGCTAAGCCGAAGAGGGTGAGGAGGCCGAAGAATGGGCCGGGCCTCTCCTACCTGGACCTCACCAACATATTCCTGATCAAGCCGGAGAGCAGTGCGGCCGACTATCTTGTCGCCCAGATGTACGTGGGGCCGTTCGGGCGGGTTAGGGCACCCAGGCCGACGGACCATGTCCTACTTCCGCCACCGGGATACTTTGGAGTATACCCGATGAGTTTTGCTAAGGGGTTGAGGTTCCCCCTTCACCCTTTCGTCATTGAGTATCTGGACATGGTGGGGCTTCCTCCGGCCTTGCTGACGCCGAACAGTTATTCCTTGATGGTGGGCTTTTTACTTCGGTGTGAGGAGCTGGGCTACAGGCCGACAACGGCCTTATTCATGAATTTGTACCAGATCGGCCGAGGAAGCCACAAGAACTGTGCGGCCTATGCTACTCTTCAACAGCTGCCGAAGAAGAGGAGCTTCACGGATTTGCCTACGTCCATTCATGGGTGGAAGAGCAAGTTCGTGTTTGTGTCCATTGGTGAGAGTGGCACCGAGTTCCCCTCTCTCGGCCATACCGGGAGGTTCAATCTCCATGACCCGCCGAAGAGCTCTATTTTGGACGCTCAGGTGGAGGCTTTCCTGGAAGGGGGGCCGAGGAGCGTGAAGGATTACGTTACTGAATACAAGATGACCGCCCTCGGCTTCTTCAGATACCACCTGTATGGAGATAAGGAGGATGACCTCCAACTCTGGCCGAGGATGACCACCACATTTGAAGAGGCCGACGGCCCGGATTTGGGCATCCCTGCTGAGGCTGATGGTAATTATTTCTTCGGCTTTCTGTTTTTATGTTTTTTTCCTTTGCCTTACTAATCCGTTGTGTTTTTCCTTTGTAGATTTTGCCATGGACCGACGTTCCATAATGGCTATTGCCAAGGCCAAAGCGGCCGAGGAGCTGGCTGCTAAGGCGGCCGAGGCGGCCAGACGTGCCGCGGCCGGTGGGAGCGGGGCTACTGCTGATGCGGCCCCAAAGCCTGCTCCATCGAAGAAGAAAAGGCCGTCCACTGACGGCCAGAAAAAGTTAACTGAGGCCGGCCTGAGCGTCTCGAAGAAGACGAAGAGGGCTCCTTCCCCTTCTCCGGCTACTGAGGCCGGTACTCTGGCTGTCCCCAGCGTGGACGATAGTGGTCCTGTCGTGGACCTTACTACTGCTGGTGATGCTGCTCCATCACTGCCTCTCGTCCAGGAGCCACGGACGAAGAGGGCCGGCAAAGAGATTGCAGGTGCCACCTACCAGAAGATGGTAGAATACCCCGTCGGTGGGGGTGTCTTCGATGACGTCATCCTTGGCCACGACGTCCTGGCGCAGGCCATGCCGGCCAAGGATCGGGCTTACCTGAGGAAGCTCGGGGACGTGAATATCTACGAGGGCGGCATGGACCTCCTCGTCCAAGTAAGTTTTCGCCACCTCTCAATTATTATTATTATTATTTTGTTTTGTTTTATCTACTTATTTAATTAATTAGGAGTATTGGTCCTAGTAGGATTAGAACTCATTAATTAGAAAGACTTTCATTGTGATTGGGAGACTAGTTTCGAACTAGTATAAATACATCCTTCTCCTTCATAATTTGTAGACCAGTTTTCAGATTCAGTATTACCAGTTTATTTCTCTGCGAAGAGATTTCCTAGCCTTTCTCTTAGGGAGATCTAACCGTTCTTTCGGGAAGGAGAAATCACGTGGATACCTAAGGTGAAGGATTATCACCGCTAGGCTGGAAGATCTGTAAGTTCTAACTCAGATCTGTTATTATTGTAATATTCGTTGTTTTGTCATAATCAGGAAAGATCTGTTTGGGAAAATTTTAAACTTCCGCTGCTGTACTTTCGAGGTACATTACATCAATTTCCCAACAGTGGTATCAGAGCCAAACTGATTCTAATGACATTATACGAATTTTTGATAGAGATTTTCGTAGGTAAAATATATTTTCATTAATCTGATTTGCGATCAAAGTTAGATTAATATTTGGTTTA